CAGGAATTGCTCTGGGTTGGTAGCAGAAGCAGGAAGAAATGCCAGTCTTGGCTGAAAGTTTCACTCTGGAAACTTTGGGATGTTTTGTGCTTGCTGTGACACTGGTGTTGTTGCCCCGTGCTTAATTTTGAAGGTAAATGGAAGATTGTTTTGGAAATCTTGCTGAGCTCCCTACAATCAAAAGATGGAGGAAGGGGTTCTCTGGCCATTCTGCTAGCTCTCATGGGGTTGATAGTCTCTTCTGCTTACGTTGCAGGGCATGGGAGCTGAAGAGAATGCTGCCCAGTCCGTCTTGGACTCCTGCACTGATGTGGCTGATGGCAGTGCTCCTCAAATCAGGAGAAGTGCCCGCTTCAGGAAAAGGAGGAGGCTGTGAGAAGGAAATGTGTTAGTAGTCACTCAGTCAATCCTGTATTTCTTGGCAAGAAGAGATCCTGAAACGCGTTTGTCTGGGGTACAGCTTAGACTGTGAATCGTGACCCTAGGAAAGGACCAAAATTATCTCGACTTTTGTTCCCTCAGGGGACGGAGTTCTACAATCACCCATTAATCGTAGACTAAGGATAATACTTTGACTTTCAGGGGAAGGGAAAGTTGATGTCTGCGTGATAAAATTACACACAAAAGTCAGGAACTTCAAACATTTGTCAGCCTTTTAGGTCGTGCTGCTGCCTGCTAGGATTACACCTGGTTGGTAGACCTCTACCGGCTTGGCTGCTAAAACAGCACTAGTAGAGGGTCATAACTGATGGGACAGGAAAGCCTGGGCAGCTGCTGCTGAAGAGAGGGTCTGTGTGTGCGAGCGCTAAACACTTGCAGCAGAAGCTGAAGAAAATCCTTGCTGCAGGTTCCAGCAGGCTGGTGGTGAGATGCCCTTGCTCTGGGTCGACAGGCAATCCTCTGGATCCTGGGCAGGTGGCAGCAGCTCCCTGTAGTTTGCCCTCTATAGCCTGGCTCGTGAGTCTTGAAGTGAAGAATAGTATTAAAAGCTGGTGGGAAGCTTAAGACCGGTGGGTACTACCTTGGAGTTTGCCTTCAACGCTTCATCTTTGAACAACTTTGTGGTTTGTGGTTTTTTCCCCCTGTATGGCTTCATTTCTCTACCTGTATAACAGGACAGCTTCTATAGGGTGTGAGTGTGTGATGTCCTAACGTCTGTTGAGGCTGTTGAATGGTGTACGATCCGCACGGTTGTCAGATCAGGCTGGGTTTCTTCTTTAAAATCTGTTTGAGAAACTCCAAAAGAGCAGCTTCCCTATAAAAATGCTGTGACTAATAGGAGTTGTTTGTGCTTTGTTACAGGAGTCGCTCGAACGAGGGCTGCCTTCCTACGTGGCAGGAGGAGAAACTCTTTGCACTATTCACTTTTAACATTTCCAATAAACTGACTAGACGGACCCGGGGAAGAGAGGAAAATGCTGGACTGGTGTTCCCACCGCCTGACCAAGTCTGCATCCTTAGACAAGTTGCAAATAACGAAACAAAACGGCTGGAGGGAAGTCTCTCGGGCATAGACCGATTCTGTTCTCTGTCAAACTAGCACCTGCCGTAGGTGCCGTGGGGGAAGGCTGCTGGAGATCTGGGGGAAGCAGCAATGATGGTTATTTATTTCCTTTTTGTGTTAGCCCCTATTTATGTGAATGTTCCTCCATGTTCAGGAAATGTTGTTCACTGGGTGTGTTTTTTAGTGCTGTGACAGTGGTTTTGCTTGCTAGCTAACTGACTGAGGACTGCTGAATGAGCAGCAGATTAATTTTGTATCAAAATGAGTCTTGAGTATTTGTTGAAATACAGATGTTTTATTTTTCTCACTTAATTACTGATGTATTCTGTGTGGTCTTTTTCTGGTAAATAGTGCTTTTAATAACGTGTGTATGAGAGTGATTGCTAATGAGAAAAACGAAGTTTGCAAGCTGCATGAAGAGCAGGGAGGATGTGGAAAATGAATATGCATGTGGCTAAAACAGCAGGATTGAATTAGGTTTGGATTCTTTCTTGATTCTTCCGCAGCCTGCCCCGTACAGACATTAGCAAGTCACTTAACAAATACTCGTTTCTTCATTCATAAACCAGCAATTTCTGTCTTACAGCGAGGTGCAAGGCTAGCTGAGTTAAAGCTGATAAAATCTAATGGGAAAGTGCTGCAGAAAGCTTCATTCCAGTGCACTGGCTGAGCTTCCCGAGAGTGTAGTGGTGAGTTGAGAGCTCTGTGAGGTGTGCGGCTCTGCTGTGAGGGCCCTTGAGGCAGAGCAGGGGTCAGGGGGACAGCGGGTACCGGTGTTGCTGTAATTGGGTGTCAAGACATTATGGAGCAAAAGGCATGACTTTGAAATGGCTTTTCCTCTTGCAAGGTACTCTCTTTTTTTTCCATAAGCCATCTCAGAGAACGTTGTTTCCAAGAAATTCAGATGTGGCAGAAGCTCTGCCGTACAGTTCTGCGCGCTGTTCACCACGGGGCTGTTGCCGTGAGGCGCTGGTAGTAAGTGTGACCTGTGCTCTAAATGATTGTTGTCCTTTGCCAGTGCTGCTTGAGGGATGCCCTTGTAATCTCACTGCTTGTGGAAAAACTTTGTATAACTGTAAGAAGCAGCTGCCTTTGTTCTTTTTTCAAGATTATACTGATCTGTTCCTGTAGAACAAAGCCTCCCGAGGCTAGATTGGTCAATTAGCAGACATTCTGATTACCTTCAGCAAGGACATCGCTAACGGAGGTGCTGTATCTTTTTTTTGAGTGGAAAGCTAATTTAACGCCTAACAAGAAGCACAGGCTTCAAGAATCTCTTGAATATCTCTGCCCCACTCCCAATGATAACATGGAGAAAGTCTCCAGAAACTTAGAAAGCAGAACAAAGAGTAGAGTGGGAAGCTAATGGGAAAATGTGTCATGCTGCCATGGTATCAGAGCGTGTATGTTCTCGAGACTTTTTTAAAACAGACTGTTAGTGAGATCTTGTTGCAGCTACAGTTCTAGGACTGTGGGAAGGTGGGGAGGCAGTCAAAGGTACGATGTTGATGCTTAACACCATCACAATGCTGCTTGCTGTGCTGCTCCTCTAATTACTGTTAGAGCCACAGCCTGTAATTTGGGAATCGTGGGTTATGTTCCTTGCTTTGCCAAGGTTTGACTCCCTTTCCCTCAAAATACTGAGTTGCCATAATTATGCTTGAAGCTTAAGGACATCCAAAATTAGAGGCATCGTTACAGAAATCATCCTTTTTGGCTGAACTCTAAGCAAAGACACGAGTTCTTGCTGCCACTTGCTTTCCTGTATAAAGACATTATGTTAACAGCTGAAAGGCTGTTTGAAGAGCCTCTTTCTTCTAACTCTGTGGCTTTTGTCCCCTGAAATCAGCTACTCAGGCCTATGCCTGTGACCTTTACTCCTTTTAGTATTTCTCACCACTACACAGAGAAACTTTCTGGACCCCGACAGGTACTTCAGTGGTACAGACTGGAAAATAAATCCAGAATGAGTCTAAAATCACTGCGTATGTGATAGTGCCGACTTGCAATGTGACCAGCGTTCTTCTCCTCCCCCATCACCCATTCTGGCTTCCACCCCTTTTTTTTTAACCTCTCCCTCTCTCTTTTTTTTTTTTTTCTTCCCTTTCCTGTCTCGCACTATAGCTGGGTCGTTTCCCCTTTTCTCTTTCCACAAACCAGTTTGGCTGCTGGAATGGTCTTTGTTCTCTCCAGAATACAAAAGGAGGCTGCATCCAAGACAGGCTTTCTCAGAGACAGGACACAGACGGGTGTTGCTTGACCAGGAGAGGAAACAAGGAGGCTTTTGACTGCACAGGCTCAGGTTGGTCCGTGTAATGCAGAATGGTTTGTTTTAACAGGGAAAATGTCTTTATTTTACAGCTCTGAGGTAAGGATGGGGTGTTTGCCAACAGGGGAATGCAGTTCTTGTAATCTGCTGGGGCTGGTTTGATGTCAGGCAGAGCAGAGTATTTTCTCTATGATAAGTAACGACTAGTTCTATGTCAGTCCAGCTCTTTAAGTTAACTGACAATGTCATGTGTAACAAGTACGTGCTGAAGATGTTTGGAGTCTTTACCTGTGCTGGAGCAGAAAACCAACAAAGGTTTGAGATGACCTTGGAGGGAGGTGCAGTGAGATGTGTGTGAAATCCCAACTCCTGTATAAGCTCCTGGTGGTCAGAACTCTGTTCCCACCACGCCTGCCCTGAAACAAGAAGACAAAAAATGTGAATACTGAGGTTTCTGACAGGACAGCCTCCCGGAGCCACTGGGAATGACAGAGGCTACTGCAGTCAACTCACACGTGTGATACAAGCGTAGTAATTAATGACTGGGATTTCATTATGGGACAGTCTGGCCACAGAGGGGCAAAGAAATAAAAATAATGCCAGTTTCTTACTCGAAAGGCAAAGGCTGGGTATAGGGGTGTTGGGTTTTCTACATCTGTTTACCTGCTCACTTCCAGGCTGGGAAGCAGAAGTTTTTCCGACCCTGTGGTTAATACCAGGCTCTTGTTGAACATAAATTGCTGAAGCTGCACAGGTGGAATCTGCGAGGTGGATGTGAGAGGCAGCCGATGTCATGATTTAACCTGGTGCATGGTTTGCACCTCTGTGTGGGCAGGGAAAGCTGTCGACAGCTGCATGTTCCCCTTCTTTGCACAGGGATAAAGCACAGCGTGCAGGAAAACAGCGGAGCTCTTGCTTTCTTGCCTGTCACCAGCGGACCTGTTGCTAAATCGTTTCACTTTCCTCTTGCAGTGAGATCTGGGAGATGTTCGGCTGGTTGGAGGGAGATCATCAAGCTTTGGCGACTCCTGTTTTCTCAGAATTTCGTGCCAGCTCTCCTGCCCAGACGTGTCAGCAGCATTGGTGCTAGCCTCCCAGCTGCTGAATCTCCAGTCTGGCACCACGCTGCTCTTTCAGGTATGACTGCAGCGTGCCACCGTGTTCTGCAGGTGATTTGCAAGCGCTGAGTTGAAGACCACATGGGAGACTTGTTCCTGCATCTAAAAGACACTTTTCCATTCTCAGTCTGTTAACGTACCTGGTTCCACCACCCCCTCGCTGCTCGAGGAGGCTTAGAGTCTGCTTGTTTGTTTTCTGGTTCTGTTTTTTCAAGGCAGGACAACACTGCTCACTAATACTTCTCACTCACCAACATGCTGGAAGAAGATAACGACGAGACGTGTTGGAGTAACCTGGAGAACTTCCGCGTGAAGCTGATCTCGGTGATAGACCCTTCCCGTATAACGGCCTACCTCCGCCAGTGCAAAGTGATCAACCACGATGACGAGGAGCAAGTTCTCAACGACCCCAGCCTGGTCATGCGCAAACGGAAGGCAGGTGGGTGAAGTGCCACCTCCGGCTCCGTAGATGTTCCCTGGTGGCTCTTGGGAGCAGACTGGAAGAGGGTGCTGAGGGACTGGGCCCGAAGGAGCGCGGTGCCTCTAGGTTACCGTCTGCCTGCGCTGAGGCGCTAACGCTGCAGGCGCCGCTGGGCAGCCCCTTTCCCCAGCACGTCGCTGAGGGGAGAGGAAGGAGTGGAGATGGCTCTGGTGATGCGTTCCCCAGCTGGGTGAAGGTGGTGGGAGTACAGAGGGTGTGTGAGGCTTTTTGGTGTTCTGGATCTCCGGATTAGCCTAAGGGAGGGAGTCGCTTGGGTTTGACCCACGAGGCTATTCTTGTGTGACAGTTTTGCAGGGGGACATTTCCCAGATTAATTCAGTACGTATTGTCCCTCGTTCCTGTCTTCTGGTGATTGAGGGAACGCTGGCAGCACATTAAGTAAATTCTTCATGACTGTTCTATACAGTCTTGTTCTGACTAGAGAGGATGACAGAATTCATTAGGCTGTTAGTACATCTTTTGGATTGGATTAACTCTTACTGATAAATTACTGAGGGCCATTAAAAAATTTTTATTTTCCCTGTTTTCCAGATTGGGAGACTGCAGAACATAGAAAAGAAGCCCCCTGGGCTTGATTTGGTACAGAGTATTTCCAAACAAAGTAGGGAGCTGAGCTCAGAGTCTTTTTAGTCCAGGCTATCTTGTCCCTGATACCTCTCTCTTTATGTGCAGTGCTCTTAACACTGACAGCCCTTGGTTCCTGTGTTTGCCTCTAGTGTTTGGAAGTGGAGCCTCAAGCTGCAGAAACTGTCATGGTGCTTTGTTTTAACTTACCTTTTCTATAATTATCAGCAGGATAACAGAAAGTGCTCTTCTGAGATCGGCTTTTTGCACCCACTGTGGTAGGAGTTAGGTACAGGGGATAAGTTTTAACTATTTCTTTACAGTTAAAATACTCTTGTACAGTGGCTGGGCTGTCGGTTTAGGATTGGCTGGGGGATTTGATCCCAGGGACTTTAATCTACGTGTGGAGAAAGTGGAACAATTTTTTGTTACGTTAGAAATAGGTAAAGAGATAAATAAATGAATAGAATATCCTGTTGCTATTATTTCAGGTGTTCTTCTGGACATTCTTCAGCGAACGGGACGGAAGGGCTTTGAAGCATTTATGGAGAGTCTTGAGCTTTATTATCCCCAACTGTATAAGAAGATAACTGGCAAGGAGCCCAGCAGGGTTTTCTCTATGATTATAGGTAATGTTTGTGTTCTGAAAAAACCCTCTTTGTTTGAAGTTGCTGTGCAAATTAAGGAGGGATTCACCTCCGCTTTTGCCTCCCCCCCAGCTTCGGTGAGCAGAGTCAGGAGCATTCCCTGGCTCGCTCCCTGTGTGCTTCAGAACAAGAACGGCCCTGCTGTCTGGCGTCATGGGCTGGACCTGGGAGGGTGGAGGAGGAAGCAGAAGGATCAATTCTTCCTTCTGCCTGTTCTGTCAGTGACACTGTGGTGTAGAAAGGCACAGAGCAGGGGGGGAGGGAACAGGATAATTTGATCACACGCGTCTTCGGGGTTTGTCTGCTTGTGCGGGGCATGGGATGGTCCCGAGCTGCGGCGATAAGTGGGTGGGAACCTGCGCTGTACGATGTCAGGGGGGCAGACGGGACAGGGGTGGCTGACACCTGCCCAACCAACCAGACACCGCTGGAGAATCCGGCCTGAGCCAGGTCCTGATGAATGAAATCATGAAGCTGCAAAGCACCGTGCAGGAGGAGCGGCGGAAGGCCCAGGAGCTCACCGTGTGGCTGCAGAGCAAAGAGAACACGATCAGGGAGCTGTGGGTGAGGGACAGCCTGCTCCGCAAGCACCAAGAGCGGGCGCAGAAGATGAAGGAGGAGAGGGACAGCCTGAGCAAGGAGCTGCGGAAGTGCAAGGACGAGAACTACAACCTGGCAATGAGCTTTGCCAAACAGAGCGAGGAGAAGAGCGCCGCCCTCATGAAGAACCGGGACCTGATCCTAGAGGTCAGTCATCCTGGTCTAAAGCTTCCCCCTTCTCTCCTGGTCCTGGGAAGGCTGTGCTGCGCACCAGCCTTGTCTTTGCCTGGGATGGTCTGAGGTTCTGTGCATCTTCTCTAGCAGGTGGCATGTCTTGGTGGTCCCTAGCTCAGCCCAGTAGGCCCATGTAGTACAAGTTCTGTTGTGAAGAATTAATCATCTTCCCCTCATTCAAGACTGAGCCGTCTCACAAGAGCAACATGTTGTACCCCTTTAGCACGCAGGCAGGACTCTCCTCCCCAGAGCATCGAGAGGAAAACAAAGCTGGGGAGAAACTTGCCCCGTGTTTGTCTGGGCCATAGAGTGAGGACGGCTTTTGCGGGCCAGAGTTTTCTTTGAGCTCTGAATCTTCTCGTAGATCGACCACTTGAAGCACAGCCTCATGAAGGCTGAGGATGACTGCAAACTGGAGCGTAAGCACACGATGAAACTGAAGCACGCCATAGAGCAGCGTCCAAGCCATGAGGTGATGTGGGAGATCCAGCAGGAGAAGGAGTTGCTCTTGGCCAAGAATCAGGAGCTGGAGAACACTCTCCAGGTTGGTGAGGGTGGCTGGATATGGACTCCTGAGAAGTGCTGATTTGTAGCAGCTGGGGCAGCGATGGGGCTGCGCTGAAGATTGTGTGGGTCAGCTGTGGCCTTGTTCTCCCAAGTCAAATGGAGCACACAGGACTGTGGGAAGAGAGTTAAAGTGGAGTTAGATGGTTGCTGTATCTCACTTTTTTTTTTTCTGTCCAGCAGGTTGCCAGGGAACAGAATTTGGAGAAGAGCCTCTCCAGTGAGACTCTGGAGAATGACTGTAGCCAGGTACTAGAACGCCAGGAGCTGATGAACACCATTTGC